GGTTGAGGGTTTAGAAGCCTCGACATGCCGCGTCGGAGGGGAACGCAGGGATTGGTTTAGGGTTTAGGTTGGTTGGTTGGTTGGTTGGTTGGTTGGTTTAGGGTTTAGGGTTTAGGGTTTAGGGGATTCGGGCCCACGCATATCCCCGAGGCCACCGTCTTAATGAACCTTGTAACTTTGAAGAGTGCAATCCCTGAGCTATCATTGCCTGTCATGTTCACACAAAACTTGTTGGACATCAGAGTAAGGAAGCGTGAAAGCATAGGTGTGTCTTAAAGCACCGACACAATCCTACACGCCTACACTATGCGAAGCCAGATGATGCGAAGCTGGACATGTAAAATCATGTAGCTGAGCCCTGGCGAGGTGTTGACATGAAATTCCTACCAGATCTTTCCAACAGTCCCTACTGGCCTGAATCAGGGGAATACCCCTTATACTAGATAACATCCGAACGTGATTTCAGGTAGCACTCCTCATTCAGAAAACGTTGTTCACGTTGTTCAATCTGGCCTCACCTGGTCAATTACACCTTGAACCCTAAACCCTACCTTAACCCCAAGGTGTCTACCTATAATGGCGTATTTATGTAGATATCCTACCCTGACCCTAAACCCTAAACCCTAAACCCTCTTTTCAGTGTCCAGGTAAACCCTCCGACCTGGCGCCCGCCGGTGTTGTGAGCGTCCCGAGCTGCTCACGAATTCGTCGAGCCTCCGAGTCGAATACATATACAGACCTTATAGAAAACTTATACATGTATATATATATATATATACACACATGTCACAAGGATGTATATATATATATATGTGTATACGCACACATGTACTCAAACAACTCTAGTTACAGTTTTTCTGTACGGACATAGCGAAAGATCTCGACACAGAGGCATCAGAGTCAATGCCTACAACACCTGATTTCTGACGTGAAGTTCCAGGGAAAGCACAAGATGTGTACGGGTTGAGGGTTTAGGGGTTTGAGGTAAAGTATGGGCCTGAAGTCCTCAAGAACTTGAATAGGGTTTAGGGTTTAGGGTTTAGGGTTTAGGGTTAGGGAATGCGTTCTGCAATTTATGGATAGAATGAAAGAGCTCTGAGGCCCACGAGCTTAAACTCCAAGCCCGCGAATCCCAGGTGCGAACTTTGAATCGCAACCGCCCTGTATATAGCCCATTCCAGAACACTAGAATCGTAAACTCCTACCTCCTAACCTCAACCCCTAGACCCTAAACCCTAAACCCTGAAGCCTTAAACCCCAAACCCGGTTTAGCTTACGACCGGCTCAGCCTCCTGGAAGACTGCAGCAGCATCCAGGACATCACCTTTCAGGGCTTCAGGGTTTAAGGGTTTTAGGGGTTTAAGGGTTTAGTGGTTTTAGGGTTTAGGGACTCAGGATTTAAGAGTTTAGGGGTTCAGGGTTTTAGGGTTTACGGTTTAGGTGTTTAGGGTTTTACGGTTTAGGGGTTCAGGGCTTTAGGATTCAGGGGTGAGCAGGACCTCTCAGTCCTTCGCGTCCACTTGAAGTTAGTTTAAGGCTTCAGGCTTTCTAGTTCACGGTGATACATACTGTTGACGATATAAATCCTGCATTACCCTAAGGACCCTAAACCATGGGAATTATGGTATATGCCTTACCAGGGGTAACGCAGGATGTATATCATCTACCGTATGGAATGTAGGTGTACCACGTTATTGCAGTCTGCTTCAGGGCTGAACTGCCATTGGTTCCGGGCATCTAGTTTGGGGCAAAGTGAGCCTGCATTGTAAACACTTAAACATACCCTAAGGGTCCATGTACCAAAATAGTGTGTGATTTGGCCTTAATGTAGTCACCTATATAGGTACTTTAGGGCCAATGTATCTACTATTTGGGTACATGGACCCTTGGGGATACTGAAGCCTCACAACCCGTAAACACACATCCCTGAACCTTCTGGCCTTACATAGGGGGTTCCGAAAATAGGGGATCCTAATATAGTACCCTAAATAGTAGGATCCCTATTATAAGGACCCCAAAGTAAGGTACCCCTTGTTTTCGGAAACTCCCAAATGGCTCCGCGAATCCGTCTAGTCCCTGAGACCATCATGATGGAAGCATAAAGGGCTTTTGGGCTCCCGACCAAACCCTGTAAAACCACATCTCTAAGGAATCCTGCCTAAATCCTATACTTCCCTAAAAACCTGAACCCTGAACCCTAAAACCTAAACCCCTAAACACCCAAACCCTAAACCCTCAACCCTAAACCCTAGACCCTAAACCCTGAACCCCTAAACCCCTAAACCCCCAAAACCCCCAAAACCCTAACCCCTAAACCCCTAAACCCCTCAACCCCTCTATCTCCTAAAAGCTTAAAGTCGGCGCCTTGCTTCCGCAAGGCGAGGCCCAGATTTCTAAGCAGCTCCAAGCCTTCCGGCCGCGATCGTTTTAGGGTTTCCCTTAAGGGAGGCCTCAAGGGGGTTTAGGGTTTGGGGGTTCGGTTTTGGGGTTCAGGGGTTTAAGTTAGGGTTTAGGGTTTAGGGTTTAGGGTTTAGGGTCTAGCTCTAGGGGGTTTAGGGTTTAGGGTTCAGGGCTTTGGGGTTCGGTTTAGGGTTTCCTTTAAGGGAGGCCTCAAGGGGGTTTAGGGTTTGGAGTTTGAAGGGCTTAGGGGTTAGGTTTAGGGTTTAGGGTTTAGGAGTTTAGGGTTCCTTTAAGGGAGGCCTCAATGGGGTCTAGCTCTAGGGGTGTTGGGGGTTTAGGGTTTAGGGTTCAGGGCTTTGGGGTTTGGTTTAGGGTTTCCTTTAAGGGAGGCCTCAGGGGTTTTAGGGGTTTGGAGGGGTTCAGGGCTTAGAGGTTTGGTTTAGGGTTTGGGGGGTTTAGGGTTTAGGTTTAGGGTTTGGGGGGTGTAGGGTTTAGGGGTTAGGTGTAGGGCTTGGGGGGTTTAGGGCTTGGGGGTTAGGTTTAGGGTTTGGGGGGTTTAGGGTCTAGGGGTCAGGTTAAGGGTTTAGGGCGTTAGGGGTTAGGAGTTTAGGGTTAGGTTTAGGGTTGAGGGGTCAGGTTTAGGGTTTAGGGGTTAGGTTTAGGGCTTAGGGGTTAGGTTTAATGTTTAGGGTTGAGGGGTTCAGGGGGTTTAGGGTTTAGGGTTTGGGGGTAAAGCGGTTTAGGTTTTTTTTGTGAGGGCACCGGGAAGGTGTTACGGTTTGGGGCGTGGCTTTTACAAACTTATCAGAGACTGTTGGGATGGATGCATTTCTATCAAGACCTTCGGGGTTCTTTTAACGATTTTGGAAACCCTAAACCCTAAACCCTAAACCTAAACCCTAAACCCTAAACCTAAACCCTAAACCCTAAACGAAGCTGTTGTGGTTCTTGCATGAACGGCTGCTTTTGGCTTACCATGTCCAGTAGACCGGCTCTGCGCTACATTTTGCAGGGTCAGCAGGTAGGGTTTAGGGTTTAGGGTTTAGGGTTTAGGGTTTAGGGTTTAGGGGTCAGCAAGTAGGGTTCTTTCAAGGGTTTTTGTTTGCCTAGTTTTGGGTACAGGGTTTTGGGGTTTAGTTTTGCCGCTTATTATGCAGAGCTAAGCTTTTCGTGAATTTCGGGACTGCAGTAAGCTATTTCGGTTTCTTTGCAAAGCTGTCATAGTTTTTTGCTTGCAATGGGTTCTGCCTGTGGATTCAGGGTTCCGCTGGGTGTTTAGGGAACCCTAAACTCTAAACCCAGCAGCTACTGGGCAGCAACTGGCGACTTGGTGAGCGCCCAACAGCGCAAACCCTACCGCAATCACACTTGGACCTCTAACCCTACCAAGGGAACCTGTAGGCCTCTTTTACTAGTGTTCTATGTTAGGGTTTAGGGTTTATAAGGTTTAGGGTGTAGGGGTGTTCTATACAATACCTTACACAAAATAGAACCTTGCTTTGTGAACCACACCTCTTAGACCCAACAATGTCTGATCACGTTCCTGGGGGTCGGGCCGTCCTCAGTGGGCCATGCGCCCAGGTGTTGCAACAAGGATCGCGCCTGAATCAGTCACAGCGTGTCACAGCCATAAGCAACTCTAATTCTCTTCCTGTAGACGAGAACCCGGTGTGTATACGCGTATGTATATATATATATATATATATATGCACGGATCTGTATGAATAACAAAAAAGGTTGGAATGTAGACCACTTACTTTTTGTAGAAAAACGCATTCCACGAACCCGGTTCCAACCACGAAGAAGCTCGTTGTCATTGGGGTAGGAGCGTTGAGAACTAAGTCACGGGTTTAGGTGGTTTAGGGGTTCAACAACTAGGGTTTTGAATAAGGTACCCATACCCTTAACTACTTACAACCCGATTAACATACTTATATCTGTACTTACTATGGTTAATGGTATAAATCGAGCACTACCCATTATAAGGAATATTGCCACAGTTCCCATAGTTCAGGGTCCTTAAGGTCAAGCAGGTTTTATATCATCAACCGTTTGTCCCATGATCCGCCAATGCCCTTAGCCACCCAGAGACAAACCTTTCAGCAGTTCCAAAGGACTGGTTCGAGAGACTCCCGTTAATTTCACAAGAGACCCTAGGCAAATGGCATGCACACTAAACCCGAAACCCTAAACAGCTGCCAGGAATAAACCTCAAAACGCTCGGAGTCCTAAGCAACACAAATCCTCAAGCGAAGAGTCTCTGAATATTAGAACCGAGCACACATTGAAACCGGAGATGCGACATTCTGCAGCATGCTTCAACAAATTGCTTCGAATATGTGGGTTGTGAGCATGAAGCGTGCGAAGTAGCCACATGGTAAGACCGAAATCACGAAGAGCATGCACACTTCTTTGTACTGGCACGACTCTCTCCTTTCGTACCGTTCAGAATCATTGCCTCTTCTGGCATCGGAGGGTGCTACGTTCCTAGCAGCATTGCCTTGAACGCCAACAACCCAACCCTAAACCCTAAACCCTAAACCCTAAACCTTAAACCCCTAAACCCTAAACCCCAATCCCTACTCTACATCCTAAACCCTAGAACCGCCTGCAGCCACTCAACTTTGAAGATTGAACCCTACACACCCTAAACGACAACCCTAAACCCTAAACTCTACACCCCTATATCCTAAAGCCCTAAACCTACGGAAAATCTAAACTCTACACCCTTATATCCTAAAGCCTTAAACCTACGGAAACTCTAAACCCTACACCCCGAACCCTAAAGCCTTAAACCTTCTGAAACCCTAACCTCTACACCCCTAAATCCTAAAGACCCAAAACCCACTGAAACCCTAAACCTTTGAACCAGAAATCTGCAGCCCCAGGAACCTAAACTCCGCCTCCAGGCTCGAGGGTTCAGGGGTTTAGAGGCTTAAGGAGTTTAGGGGTTTCGGGGTTTAAGGAGTTTGGGGGTTTCGGGGTTTAGGGGTTTGAGGGTCTAGGGTTTCAGAAAGAAGGAGTTTTGGGGTTTAGGGGTTTAAGGGTTTAGGGTTTCAGGGTTTCGGCTTTAAGGGTTTAGGGGTCTAGTGGTGAGGGTGGAGGACCAGAACACTACTGGCCTCCAGGAAATCGTGGATGGCTCCTGAGCAGTCACCCGTCGAGAACCGGGCCGTGCCTTGCGGGTGCAGGGTCTTGGCTTCGGGGGTGTAAGAGACAGGCTTCACATTCATATGGCTGCTTATTGTAATTTTGTATGCCTGTAGATGTGCCTAAACCCTAGACCCTGAATCCTAATCCTTCTTGCTGCAAGTAAAGACTTTCTGACCTATGCTATCCCAGACCCGAGCACAGCGAATCCGTAGGCTCGCAGTCCGTATGCTAGCCATACCTATAGATCTTACCCTCAGGGCCCGTTACAAAGTTCCTATAAAGGTTCTATATGGGCACCATAACGGTTCAGGGTTTCGGGTGTAAGGATCCCTGTACCGAAATAGTATATACTTTGGCCCCAACGTAGCTATGTATAGAGATTACTTCAAGGCCAATGTATATACGCTTTGGGTACATGGACCCTTAGGATTCATCAAAGCGCACCACAAAGTGCAACTCGAATGCACAAGCCACACAGATGGCACTTGTTGAATATGGGATCCTAGGTAAATATCCATCTGTGGAGAAGCTCATAAAGACAAAGATAAAGATAAAGTTAGAGATGTAGGTATAGATTCAGATACAGACATAGATATCGATATAGATATAGACATAGATACAGCTGTAGGTATGGACATAGCTATCGGTACAGACATATTCACACACACACACACATGATGATGTGCATGCATCCATCCATCTATCCATCCATCCATGCATGCGTACATACATACGTACATCTGTATACATTTATCTCTACATAAGTCACGCCTATACAAAATCTAACGGTATGAATTGCGTGCTCATGCATGGGACCGTCTCGTAGATCATATTGCACATCGGATCCTGAGTTGGTTTAAGGTTTACCTTAGCCCCAAATAACCTACCTTTTTAAGGACTCATATAAAGAAAGCATAATAAGGAGCCCAGAAAAGGTAGGTTTTTCGGGGTCCGGGTATAGGGCTTAGGACAGAATCCTTTTTCGGTCTCTCTGTGGAATTCCTGGACGACTCCTCTGAGACCCCACGGAACTTCTGCAAAGAACCTGAGCCTGAATCGCGTGTGGGGTTTTCAGGATGTCATTCCTGAAGCCTCAACCCTAAACCCTAGAAGTAAACATCTACATGCTTACTCTGATCCCATGGGTAAATCAAACAAGAAGGTATGTTTTGTCTCAATGATCAGTATAGTAGACCCCCCAAAAAAAACCCTTAACCCTAAAAACCGAAATTGAACGCTGAACTCTAAACCCTAAAAGCCTGTACCCTGAACCCTAGACCCTAAAAGCCTGAACCCTAAACCCTAAACCCCCTAAACCCTAAACCCTAAACCCTAAACCCCACCCCCCGGAAACGGAACGCCTCGGTTCGTCAGCAGGGCCGCTCCCTCCACGCTGCGGAGGGCCCCGGCGCGGCTCCGAAGCTCCACCGCCTTGTCTTAGGGTTTTAGGTTTAGGGTTTAGGGGTTTAGGGGTTTAGGGGTTTAGGGGTTTAGGGTTTAGGGTTTAGGGTTTCGGGTTTAGGGTTTAGTGTTTTTTGAGTAGGGTTTGGGGTTTATGGTTTAGGGCTTAGAGTAGCTCTCTAACTTAGAGTCCCTTCTTGGGTCTGTTTTAAGGCTTCAAGGGTGCCGCATAAGGTATGTAGCTTGGGGCTTTGGGCTTAGGGTTTATGGTGTGGGGTTTACGGTTTAGAATTTTCTACAAGGCTTATGGAGTTTCACTTCAGGGTTTAGCCGTCTGACCAGGCCACGACTGCCCCAGCACGACTTGGCGCCTGAAGCAAGGTGCCCCGGAGCTTTGCCAAGCCCTTAATGGGACTCTGGTAAGCCTCGTGTCTCAAGACCTTCTTCTTGCAGGTCTGGGTCTGGAACTGTATCTCTTTGCTGCAAGCACGGCAATAGTACGTGGCAGACTTCAGAAAACTTCGGTCGGTTTGCACGTAGACATCCGACCGTCGAGACTTGACCCAAGCAGCCAAGCACCAGCCTTTAGTTTCACCCTTGCGAGGCCTGCCACGTTTGTTCCCTACAGCTTCCGAGCTCCCAGAGACTCCAATATCCCTTAATTAGGGAATATACCTTAACTCATATTAGGGGTCCTACTATAATTCAAGGTATATTCCTTAATTAAGGGATATTGGAGTGTCTGGGCAAGCTAGATGCATCCTCATCTGCTGCACCCGGAGCTGCAGCAGCTTCAGCATCAGCAGGATCCTGTGGCTAGAGGTTGCGCTGCGCTCTTGCGTGAGAGCTCTGGGCCTTGTGCATGCTTATCTCATAGCGGCTTCTAGTAGGGTTTCAAGGCACTTTTACTGGGCTTTCAAGGGTTTTGAAGTGACTTTTATGAGGAGGCTGTCAGCCCTGTATTAATTATGTAACCCTGTATAACCCATCATTTAGGACAGTGGAGCCCTGGGTATTGTAAATCCTAAACTCAAAAACCCCAAATCATTGCAAACCCTAAGCCTCTAAATCCCAACCCTGAACCCTACACCCAAAAAAACCTAAACATCCTGTCTCTCGGCTAAAGATGATGTAGTTCTCTAACTTAGGGTTCGTTTTAAGATCCTTTTTAAAGGTGCCGTACTATGTTGGGGATCGACAGAGGGGCCCTAACGAAGAGAAATATCCTAAACCGTAAACCCCTAAACCGTAACCCTAAACCCTAAACCCTAACCCTAAACCCTAAACCCTAAACCCTGACTTAGAGAACTACCCGTTTGATCACTGCAGGCTCCTAGGCTGCCAACTTCAAGAGCCTGAAGCCTGCACGTCTCGGGGTTTAGGGTTTAGGGCTTCGGTTCTTTTGGGGTTTAGGGTTTAGGGCTTTGGGTTTTTTGGGGTTTTGGGTTTAGGGCTTCGGGTTTTATGGGTTTTGGGTTTTGGGCTTCGGGTTTTATGGATTTTGGGTTTTGGGGTTTAGGAGTTGAGGGGTTTAGGGGCCTCAAGTCTCGAAGAACCTGAAACCCCATTCTCTGAACCCGAAGATGTTAAACTACCCTGCACCTTTTACATTGGCTTATACATACATATCAATACATAGATAGATAGATAGATAGATAGATAGATAGATAGATAGATAGATAGATAGATAGATTTGTATCCCATCCCTCGACCCTGAACCTTAGATCCCAAACCCTGGAACGTACCCACCCTAGGATCCTGGCAAACTATAACCCCTAAGGGTCCATGTAATGTAGGTGCCTTGATACTTAGAACAGGTTTTTTGGGGGTTCCTCATTATATAACTTCAGTATAATATACCCCAAACCCTATTCTAACTATCACGGCCCCTATAGTACCCAAATAGTATAAGCTTTGACCTTCCAGTAGTCCCTACATAGGTACATTGGGGCCGAAGTATATAATATTTGGGTACACGGACCCTTTGGGGTTGAGGGTTTAGGGATTAGGGTTTAGGGTTCCTTAAATCCTATACAAACCCTGATGATACCTTCATGGAACCCTTCATAGGAAGCCTGAAAGGAGCCCCTAAACCCTACACCCTAAACCCTAAACCCTAAACCCTAAACCCCTAAACATGGACCCTTAAGGTAATCTCCAGAGCAGGGCCTTCGGGATGAAGGTTTAGGACGTCAAGGAACCCAAAGACTCCAATATCCCCTAATTGAGCAATCTACCTTAAATTATAGTAGGGATCCCTAATATGAGTTTAAGGTATATTCCTTAATTAAGGAATATACCTTCAACTATAGTAGGATCCCGAATATGGTTCAAGGTATATTCCTTAATCAAAGGATATTGGAGTCTCTGAGAAGAGTAGCACACTGAAAGCTTGCGGGTTCGGGACCAGGGCTTGAACGGTTCAGGGCTTTAGGGTTTTAGGTTTGTTTTGTTAAGCGCCCCTTCTGCCATCCGCCACATCAGCCTTTAGGCTTTAAGGCTTTAGGGTTTTAGGGTTACCTTAAACTACCATGACCTTTCCTACTTGTTTGCAAGGATTTCATACAATTCCGATTAACAGGGCCCTGAGCAAACCAGGTAATGGTATAAAGGTAGCCCACAGACCCTGAATTCGGCAACAGCCCCGTATAGCAACAGACAAAAAACAAGAAGACAAAAACACCATATACAGCCCCGGGAAAACAATCGTGCACAATTCTACAAAACGTGAAACCGTGCTCTCAGATAAACAGTTACGTACAGGAAAACAAGTGAAGCGATAAGCATCGGTATGTGCACGAAATAAACAAATATTTGTATGTACTCTATGCACATATATATATATATTATACTCCACACCTAACGATCTATCTGCCTATCAATCTATCTGCCTATCTGTCTATCTATCTATCTATCTATCTATCCATCTATCTATCTATCTACCTACCCATCTATCAATCTATCTATCTACCCACTTACCTATCTACCTATCTATATATCTAACTATCGATCTACCTATCTATCTATCTATCTATCTATCTATCTACCCATCTATCAATCTACCTATCTATCTACTTACCTACCTATCTACCTATCTATATATCTAACTATCGATCTACCTATCTATAGATCTACCTACCTACCTACCTACCTACCTACCTACCTACCTATCTATCTATCTATCTATCTATCTAAGAATATCTATCTATATCTCTATCTATCTATCTGTCTATCTATCTATGTATCTATCTATCTATCTATCTATCTATCTATCTATCTATGTATCTATCTATCTATCTATCTATCTATCTGTCTGTCTATCTATCTATATATGCACGGTAGCAAGCTATGTACTAACTCCGGGCCGTCGGGCCCGGGGCCGTCAAGTCCATTTACAATGGCGAACCGGTGGTTCCATGCGGAAGATTTAGGGTTTAGGGTTGATTCTAAGCAGAACTGTTATACTACCGGCCACCCTCCACTTCTTTCAACAATTTCCCCTTGCATTCAGTGTGTATATATATATATAGAGAGAGAGAGATATATATATATATATAAGAACAGAATAGAACTGAATAGAATAGAATTAGAACTAAACGTTAGAATAGACTTGAATGGAACAAT